TCGCCGATGTGAAGAATGCCTTTCTACATGGCACCCTGACAGAGACAGTGTATTGCCAGCAGCCCTCTGGGTTCGAAGACCCAGCTCATCCAGACTTTGTCTGTGAAGAAGTCACTATATGGCCTCAAGCAGGCCCCTCGTGCCTGGTACAATCGGATGGCTACATACTTGTTGTCTCTTGGGTTTGTTGAAGCCAAATCAGACACTTCGCTCTTTGTTTACCAGCACGGATCAGATACGGCCTACCTGTTGCTCTATGTTGATGATATTGTCCTCACAGCTTCCTCACCCGGTCTTCTTCGGCGGATCATCTCAGCTCTTCAACAGAAGTTCACCATGAAAGACCTTGGTGAATTGCATCACTTCCTCGGTATGCATGTTCAGCGATGTGGTGATGGACTTCTTCTTTCTCAGCGGCAGTATATGCTGGACATTCTTGATCGCGCCGGGATGGCAGAGTGCAAGCCGTGCTCCACTCTAGTCGACAATAATCCGAAGGTTGCTGCAGCCGATGGCTCCCCTGTGTCTAACGCCTCAGATTTTCGCAGTCTCGCTGGAGTCTTACGGTACTTGACATTCACCCAGCCAGATATTGCATATGTTATGTAGCAAGTCTGCCTTCATATGCACGACCCCCGTGAGCCTCACCTTGCAGCTCTGAAGCGAATTCTTCGCTATGTTCGAGGCACTCTCCACCTTGGTCTCTTGCTGCGACCGTCTACTTCGACTGATCTTGTTGTCTACACTAACGCTGATTGGGCTGGTTGTCCGGACACCCGCAAGTCCACCTCGGGCTATGCTATGTTCCTTGGCGACAATCTCGTCTCTTGGCCCTCCAAGCGCCAGAACACGGTGTCAAGATCCAGCACTGAAGCCGAGTATCGCGCGGTGGCCAATGGAGTTGCTGAGGCCACCTGGCTGCGCCAGCTTCTTTTGGAGCTGCATGCTCCCCTCCGGCGTGCCACACCGGGTGTCTTCGCGATAACATCGGTCACGATCTACATGACCTCCAACCCGGTTCAAATCGGTAAGACTAAACACATTGAGATCGATCTTCACTTCGTTCGGGAGCGAGTTGCTACCGGTGATCTTCGTGTCCCGCATGTTCCAACCTCTTCACAATATGCGGACATCTTCACTAAGGGACTTCCCTCTTCGGTGTTCACGGAGTTCAGGTCCAGTCTGAACGTGCCGAGTGGCTGACGATCCGACTGCGGGGGCGTGTTAGACTAGCGCCTATAGGGCTGGCCATGGGCCTTGGCGCCCACGCCTGGTGGCTGGGCTGCCTCAGGTTTATAGTAGTTGATCTCCTAGATTAGGCAAGGATCTCCGTTGATTGGGTGTGTTCTATAAACCCTACACCAATCCTTGCCTATATATGTTGTACCCCCTTGTACACATTGAATCAATCTACTACTTTCCCTGTGCCATATCTTCTCTCGCTATGAAATGAAAGCTTCAAGCTTTTGCAGTCATTCACATTTTTTGCAGCTGTCAAGGGTCACCACAGGGGCACAAAGCGGACAAACATTGACTATCTTAGTGAAAATATTCATTTCCCTTGCAAGTTAGAGTGCGGTAATGCTGCTCATACCATACCAATACCTAGGAGGAAATTTTCTAGTGAATACTAGAAAAGAGGGCTTTCTACATAGGGATAGAGCAGGTGTTGTAAGGTAGATACAGTTTCAGCTTTAGTTTGAGAGTGAAGCAATTTTTGTAAAATGGCCTGTGTAACTGAGTGCGAGTTACAGCAATCTAGCTCAGATATATACAAGAACTTAGGCCAATGGGTTAGGCACAGTGATGCTATACACTTCACAGGACTAAAGAGGACCAAGCAACTCCTTACCCATCTGTGTGGAAGAAAATTCCAGACGAGGAAGCCGCACCTGCAACCAGGCGTCCCATGCCCCAGAAACCAGCGCCTGTATCTTGGAGGCTTCATCACCCCATCCTCTCCTCTTCCTCCACTGCAGAGGAGCGCTGGACAAGGGCCATGTTGCCACCAGCTGCCATGGCTGCAAACGTCATCTCAATCTGCATAGGCGTAGAGGTACAACAGGCAGAGGGCGACACTAACAGGGACAGCGGTGGTAGCAGTAGGATTCCGAAGAGGGTGATGCCAACAGGAGCAGCGGCGGCACTTCTTGTGAGTTTTGTCCAATGAACTTGGGAGACTGAACAGTAATGGTCTGCAAACTATTGGCTGGTGTCCCACAACAGGCCAACAGCCACGAAGAGTTATTTGCATGGCAGACTGGCGGGTTACGTTAATAACCCATCCTGCCTGCATTCTTGACTGTGTACTAGGCATTGACTTGTGCTATTGCAGAATTTTGGATGGTCACTGTTAGGACTTGATGCCCTACCAGCTAGGATTGAGAGGGAGAGAGCTGAGGAGGGCTACAGTACCCGCGGGGGTACTGTTCACGCGAGGGAGAGAGGGCAGGGACGGCTGGCTCCTAGGGGAAGTCAGCAACTTAATTGTTGCTTCTTGCTTGATTATAACTGATACAGGGTTCTCTTTTATAGAGATCACTGACTTGACCCCTAAGGAAACATCCTAATCGAATCAATCTAATCTAATCTAATCCGGTACTGTTCATGCTGTTATGTTCACGCGCTACAGTACCGCGTGGGCCCCTGGTCCGGCTCCACTTGCCATAACACTACGCCCCTCCAAGACAGCTCGTCCTCGAGCTGTGGCGATTGCTGGAGCAGAAGACCTTGCAGTCCAGAGAAGATCGCCATGGCAGCTCTGCTCAAGGAGTCCTATGTTGCAGTTGTAATCGAGGCACAAGACATATGGCTCCCCAAAATCAACTCCGTCCCATGGGATCTGCTTCTGTAGTGGTGCACGTCCATACTTTCCTCCTCGAGGTGGCAAACTTGGCTGCGCCATCTCGATGCCGCTTCGAATCGAATCCGCCTTGCGGCTCGAATCCATGGAGCACTGCGCACGTGGAGTCGATGGTGCCTCCACGAGCGCCCACCCCGCTATGGGTGCAACAGAGCGGGCAGTCTTTGGCGTACTCAAGCGACCGATGGAGCTTTGAAGGCTCTTCTTGGCCGAGCCGACGGAGAATAAGCGCATGCAAACAGCCACGTCCCTGCTCGAGGGATCGGTGCAGCGGCTCGTAGAGGCAGCGACAAAGGCACCATGTCCGCCAATGTCGGTGCATGGATGATCGCCTGCATTGGTGACACTAGTGCCGGCGGGGTTGTTGGCGAAGCTGGTGATGAGACTGCCGGAGTTGTGGCAGCCGGGGTCTTCATTGGTGATGTGACCATGGCGGGGGAAGAGGAGCGCAACGATGTAGCTGACACCGTCGTTGTTGGTGATGGCGCCGATGCGAAGAAGTGGCGAAAGCGATGTGGTAATCGCACTACCCCCCACTACGGTGCCGATGGTGCTTCGCCGGCGACGTCGTTAAGGACGGCGGTGCGGCAACCACCACGCCGAATCGATCCGATCCGATTCGGCGAAGTGGGCTGACGGCCACCGGTGCCTCGTCGGTTGCCAGCAACGGTGATTGCAGTCGGTGAGCTGCATGAGCTCCATGTGCAAGGCGTGCTCGAGAGTCTCGGCGGCGGCGGTGGCATCGACAAGATCATGATGATCTATGCCATCCACAGCCACGGACCCCCTGCTGCAGCACAGGGTCCTCCACGGCTGCGGCTGGGGTGCATAGGGCCCGACGAGGAAGGCCCTGATGTCCGCCACGCCCGCCCCCTAATTCCAGTGATTGTGGCCGCCATCCGCTTCCGGGTGAGGACGAGGGCGGCGGGAGACGATGGCGCCAAGGCGGGGGCGCGATCACCCCTCGAGGACGCCAACAATACCCAATGCCGCGCTGCTGATGTGGCAGCAGCAGGCCTTGACGAAGACGTCAAGGCGGCGGCGGGTGGGAAGAACTCGGTAGAGGGCTGGACATGATCGAACCAGAGATCTCTGATACCATATTGTTAGGACTTGATGCCCTACCAGCTAGGATTGAGAGGGAGAGAGCTGAGGGAGGGCTACAGTACCCGCGGGGGTACTGTTCACGCGAGGGAGAGAGGGTAGGGACGGCGGGCTCCCAGGGGAAGCCAACAACTTAATTGTTGCTTCTTGCTTGATTATAACTGATACAGGGTTCTCTTTTATAGAGATGACTAACTTGACCCCGAAGGAAATATCCTAATCGAACCAATCTAATCTAATCCAATCCGGTACTGTTCACAATGTTATGTTCACGCGCTACAGTACCGCATGGGCCCCTGGTCTGGCTCCACTTGCCATAACAGTCACTCTGTTCCAGTGTCATATGTATGGTAGTTCAGTGTGGGGTGTCATCAGGGAATCACTGATTCTGATAAGAGAATAGAGAAAATGATTAGTGATTATGGTGAGGAACGTTAACATCTTTTATTTGATAATTTCTTTCACATAGGACTAATATTTTGACAGATCCTTCTATTGAGAATCTTTCTTCTAGCATACATTGATGATGAAATCCTTGGAATTATCTATCCTTTCAGCACTTACTCCTCCATACTAAAAAATAAAATCGTTTTGGACAAAGGACACGATCTCCAAAGTATAACTTTAACTTCTTGTTTTTTATAAAAATATTTATCGGAAAATGATATATGTATATTTTTATGAAAGTATTTTTCAAGACAAATCTATTCATATTGTTTTCACATTTCCAAACTCAACAACTTAAAAGTTATTCATGATTTATATTCTCAATGTTTGACCCAAGCCTTGTCCAAAACGACTTCATTTTTTAGTACGGAGGGAGTATATGGAATTAGTCCATTGGCGGATATTGCTTTTGTTATGCAGTGTGTGTAGCACAAGTTAGTTTTCTAATAAACGAATGATAATTACATCATTATGAGTATCCTAGTTTTCGTGTGTAAATTGGTACCAAATCTTTAGCCTTTTTCACCTTTTCAATTGGCTGATCTTAGCAAGCAAAGTAACTAAATCTCTATTTGTCTTTATACAGCAACTGAGCTAGTTACTAGATCAATTCGGGTAATGATGGAGTCTGGCTGTGAGGAGGTAATTACTACTGCCATTTCACGTTCTCTTTTGGTTCCCAACATTCCAATTGGCTTGGAAAACTCCTAGAAGTGAGAGCTTGTCACCTATCTTTATTTTGGTATTTTCCATCTTTTTTGTGTAAAAAGGGTTTATAACATCTTCAGCTAGAAAGATGGTAATAAGTTTGAGCTTAGACCATAGATTAACATGCAGTTTGCATATGAACATCCTTCCCAAATGTTCAAGTATTTTACATCCAACTTGTACCTTCTTATCAGGTGACACTTGAAGCAGAAGTTACTAATAAGGGTGCCCTTGCTCTCTATGGTCGCCTGGGGTTTATCCGAGCAAAGAGACTGTACAGATACTATCTAAATGGTGTAGACGCTTTTCGGCTGAAACTACTGTTTCCACGCCCTGATCCTGGCCTGCCTCCAATGATGATTGGCAATGACAGGGATGACCAGAAGATGGATTCTCCCTACTTGTGACAGTACCCTAATCAGTAGGTAGAATTGAGTTGGAGACCTGGAATCCAATCATTTTTCGCTCTGTTTCATGCTTTTCACAGCTAGTATGTAAGTGTAATATTGTTGGTACTTCATATAAAATTTCGAGGTGTTTATTTCCTCCTGTTCTTTGATAAGGATGTTGTATTTTTTTTATTTTTTATCTTTTTGCTATCTTCACATCAAGCAGTAAGACCGTGCAGTTCTTTTGCTCAATAAACAAAACTCTTGCCGCAGTTGCTGTAGAGTTTAATTGTGAATATCGAAGGTCTCTGTCAACAATACTTATAAAATCCCAAAGATTGTGGATGGCCACAACCTAATCCTGAACAGGTCGTTCCTCTTAACATTCGGTAAATGAACATACAACTAGCTGGAAATGTAAAATCAATGACAGGATAAGTCCAGAAGCTGCAATAGTCCATTAGTCATTAAAAGCTGAATTCCACGCCAACAGCTTGAAATATTTTCGTTAAGCTAATATTGTTTTAACAGCAACAGGTAGCAGCCAGTAGAACCACTCTAGAAAACCAAAAAGAGCTATGCTCACTTGCTCAGCTGCACATCACACCCAACATGTCAGTAGAACATTAGGCGACACAAACATTTATGTCACACCCGATTTGAAGGATAAAATGGGATGCAAAATCTCATGTGCGCCCAGAAATCAGTCCCACACATAAGCCGATAAATTATAAATAGTATCATCACAAGTGTTTATTACATCACGAATAATAAGACAGAGTCTTCACATAAATATAGCGAAAATATAAAGAAAATCTCTCGCGCAAGCTCCATATCACAGGGACATCAACTGGTTGATCAAAAGTCTAGTAATCCTCAGAAAAGTCATTATTACCATAACCATCTGTTACCCATCCGGGATTTTTATCCAAATAATGAAAATAAACAAGCGTAAGTACGCGTCGTACTCAACAAGTGTAACATGAGGTTCATGAGGCTCAATAGGTTTGACACAGGTTTAACAACATTCACCTTTTAGTTGTCACAATTTTAACATAAGAGTAGCAACAAGTTGTTTCAATCCCACAGTAAACAAATGATCAATGTAAACAAGAATAATGAATAGCATAAACAGTTAATTCTTAGTGATCATCTATTCCATAAGGGTCCAAGACCGCTCGTGACCGTGAGCACAGCTGATATACCAGTTTTACACTCTACAGAGGTTGTACACTCACTGTGAGTCGTGATATCCATATGCCCAGGTTAATTACTTCCAAAACACGTCCAAGGTGAGCAGACAAGGTTCACTATGAAGCCTTTCAAAGGTTCGTCTAACAAGTTAGGGCCGCTAGGTTTCTGTGCCCTGTGAATGTAGGGCTCCTCTTCCAACAGGCACAATGACACGCAACCTATACACTGACGGACAGAGGCCGCACTATATCCAACCCAAAACACACCCCTTTTGCGCCATAAAGATAACCTCTAATAAGCTAGAAAAGGTCCTTATACTGAGCTAAAGTCAGAGCCATGTAGCCCTCACAACTGTACTGTAAATTCCGGATGTTCGCTTACAGATACGTCCTTAGAGAGAGAAATCTGAAGCATTTAGAAAGTAGCTAAATACTCTAGCCTCCTGTTTTCAAGTTGCTAAAAAGTCATATTTTAATGTTTATTGCATATACCATTAGTCACGTTACAAGATTATGGTTTAATTGAGCACTAGCAAAACTACCCAACACATATCCCATAAAAGACAAGGTATAAGTTTAATTCTAGGGAATCCCTATCAAGGTGTCACATACAACATGAATTAAATGTATTAAAGTTGATAGAAAATAAGGATAATCCCATGCTATACTTGCCTTGAACAAAGTGCTCATGCTGATCCTGCTCGTCAAAGTAGTACACTTGTTCACCCACGAATTGCTCAAATTGCTCACCATCTATACTCGATAATCATAGCAACATACAAGCATCCAGAAAAAATCATACATAGCAAACAAAAGCTATAGATTAGAACAGTACACCAACAGTATAAAATCAAGATGAAAAGTTTGCAAAACAAATCTACGTCTCACTACGAACACACAGACGCGAAGATCACAAAAATCAGAGCTAAAACGAAGAAGTTAAGAATTAAACGAGATTTCCTTTAGTAAAATAATAGATTAAATCTAACCTCGAATTTTAAAAGTTGAAAATATACTTAACAGTAATATGAACATGTAGATTACGCAATTACAAACCTAACGCAACTTGCACATACCAAATCGGAGTTAAATCGAAGATTTTATGGCTAAAACAAGATTAGTGGCAAAACTGTAAATAGATGAAAATGTATTTTAGATCTAAACCGAAAGAAACTACGCTTCTAAAAGAAGAAGGCGTATTCTGGATTTGCACATTGGACTACGGGTTATAATATAGAAAAGTGCAGGGACTCTTTAGCAAAAACGACCCGCGAAAGAGGTATCTTAAGATCTGGACCGTTGGATCGAAATCGGACAGCGCAGATCAGATCGGAGGGGAGGGGAAACGGCCTGTGAGGATGGCAGCGAGCTCCAACAGCGGCGCCATGGCCAAAGACGGACGACGCAAGTGATTTATGGCCTACGGTCCATGAGGAAACAAACCGAAGGCCCCGGGAGAAAGAGGAAAACAAGGCGAACTCGGCTAAATAGCTTACCTCGGCGTGAAGCGAACGAGGGCGGCCTGGTGCTCGGTGAGGCGAGCGGAGATGGCTACGGCACTAGGGTTTGTTGTAGCGCGGCGATTCGGCGCACTCGGGACAAGGAGAACAGCGCGGTGCGGCTCAGCTTTTATGGGGCGAAAACAACTTGGGACGCAAGGCAAGGGAGGAGGCGTAGCAGTCGCGGACTCTAGGGCGGCGCGGAGTCGGGCGGCGGCGGCAGTGTCCGTGCCGGACACGAGCTGGAGTCAGAGGAAGGCCCTGACGTGCGGACCCAAGCTGTCAGCGAGAGGAGAGAGGGGAGAGGAGAGGCGGCTGCGCTGGGCTGCTGGCTGCTGGGCCGAGCTAAACGGGCCACGCGGAATGAAGAGAGGCGGGCCGCACGGGGAGCCTGACCGAGCTAGGCCAGCAGAAAGAGAAGGCCAAGCGGGAGCTGGGCTGCTCGGGCCGAAAACAGAGAAGGGGAAAGAAAAAAATAATAAAACTCTTTTTCTATTTTCTTAACACAATTTCAAATTCAATTTAAACTCAAATTCAAATTCTTTTACAAATCAAACCAAAGCATCACAAAATAAATATGCAGCAGCATGAATACACACACATGTATGTAGACCTATATTTAATTTTATTTTTAACAAAGTTATTATTTCCCTAAATTTAAATGCTCACAAAATGCATAATTAAATCATTTTCTCCTATTTTAAAATCATGCAAATTTTAGAGTGTTACAATTTATACAACCTGAATCTCAGTAACAAGGGTGGATGGTGAGAGTCAGTTGCGTAGGTGAGGTGTTGTTTGCTTGGAAGATCATGCTTTCAAACACTGAAACAACAATCACTGTTGCCCTGGCGCAGTTGTGACACAATTGACCTGAGCCCTGCTGCCAGCATCCTGGGGTTGATTCACCTGGGGAATCCCCAACCGGACCCATAATAGGGGGCTCTGAAATGGAAGAGGGCAAAAATGCAATTAGTGATTTTTGCAAGTTGCAGAATGTAAAATTTGTTTCTCTATTGTTTAAGCAAGTAGTTGTTCATTAAATATTCAGCAGCTGAATAATATGCTTTTCAGACATTACTGTTGCCAGCAGAGGCCACATGTACAACTTGGTTTGCAAAAAATAACTACAATGTAACAGAACTAACATACAGGAAGTACTAAGGTTCATTAAGATATCAAATGTGTACCTCTCATATGTGCTTTGCTGGTAGTGATGATTCACACTACCATGTTCATATGGATATGGATGATTCTGGTAAGGAGCATAGTAGGGACCAGTAGAATAAGCGGGACCTGAGACATGCGCTGGCATAGGGTATTGGGCATAGAGAGAACATGAAGGTGGCATTTGCACATACCGATAGGCAGAAGGAAATGGACGATATGCTTCATATCCATCTCCATAACCATACCCAGTTGCTGTTACCATACCTGGAGCAGTCGGAGGCAGGTAAGGACATGGAGGTGGATAGGCTTCAGGTGGCATCGAATGAGCATCCTGAGGAGCAATATAGGGAGTTGGATGATGCGCATAAGCAGGTGGTTGTGCGGGGTTAGCTGAAGGAGGTAGAAGAGGAGGAGCAGGGGGGCAGTTATCAACATCGTGTGGGGGTGGGGGCCAGTTATCAACACCAGGTGGGGGTGGGGCCTGTTATCAACATCATGTGGGGGTGCTGATTCAGGAAGTAAAGTAATTGGCTGAAATAGTGCCCTCAGTTTCTCAACCTACAACAGAAAATCAACAGCATATGAAGCCTCATTACATGTATTATATAAGTTCAAGGTAAAATAGAAGACAATATCATATTCCTGCTAGCTGCTAAACTGATACTCAAGGTCAATAATGATAACTTGTCCCATAACACGTAGAAGAGAATTTCTATAAAAAAAAAGAGAAAAGAACAAAACAATGTATGAAAATGCTCTCATCATGCCCCAGTTTTTCCCTTCTCTTTTCTTAATATACAATTTCTTATTTCTCAGAAAAAAAAAAACATTGCAACATCACAAATGAACAGCCTAAATACAATCAGAAAACCTATTATGGCAACAATACAGAACATCTAAGCTCCAGTGAAATAAAGATAACATCCTATATGCCTTGTTTATGGGAATAAAGAGCACTAAAAAGAATAGACTTCACTACTTCAGGCCTCAAAATTTAAACATGCTATATAGCAATAAATGAAAAATCTATCTCAGCATCAACTTGACTTCACATTTGTATGTGATGCATGAGCAAATTCAAAAAGGAAAGGCTTAAACGTCTAATATGTCAGGGAAGGATCATTATCCTTTTGTCTACTAACCCCCCACATATACCAGTTAAACCAGGCATCATATGAACTGCACAAAAGTTTCATGTACGCAGATGTCCATCCTTATTCTATCTAATGGTATGACTGAAGGTTGGCGGTCAGAAATAATGTAGAGGAGCCACACATAACAATATTCAATACAATTCATTTCTCTTCACAAACACAACAAATGCTGATTCTTGCTCATCCATACTTACTTGTGTACCAGTAAGCTCTGGGTTGAACATCCCATTGACATAGTTGTCATTGATGGCACTTCTTAGGCTACTCTCAGGGAGAGGCATGAAATCACCATCAATCTTAAACTTGACCTGCACACAAAAACAAAAGTTGTTGGCTTTTGTTCCATTGCTAGATGACATTACAATGTTTAAATTGGCAATTAATAAGCATAAGGGAATGAAAAAATATTAGAGGAAACGAAAAATTTCTGCAATCAATCGGCATAAAAAGGTTAGCTCTTGATTGAGATAGCTTTTCTTGAACAAGCAGGAGAGCTGTCAAGAAGAATGGAGAGGAGGGGCAAAAGCCCAAATACAAACACATGCACACACACCAAAATGAGATAACTAGAAAAAATCACACCATTAAAATAAAAGCAACCTTGACCTAACCAAAGGTTCCACCTAAGAACCAACCTCTGGGCCAAGAGCAAGGAGGAAAGAGATGCCCCTGGCCCCTGCCAAATGCCAACAATACAAATCCACCCTAGCGAGCAACAGAGCATTAGCTAGATTAGGAGAGACACCATCAAAGACAAGTTGATTATGATGTTTCCAAAATTGTCTGAGACCCTAGGATGATGAGAGAGTTCAGTCCTTTTCTGGCATGTCCATCCATCAAAACTTCCACATTCGACAACTATCAAAGGATAAGTCATCCAGCTGAGTAGAGAGACTCTTCAACACAACACTTTGGAGTAGGCTGTACCGAAATTGCCACAAAAACACAAGAGATGAGAAGGTGGTTGATGTTTTCATTGGCCTGGTCACAGTGAAGACAGGAGGCAGGATGAGGAAGGCCACCCTGGGCAAGCCGATCAGCAATCGAGCATTTTTTTTTATCCTGGATCCCTAGTATGCAAGTTGTAGTATCTGAACTCTACTCAATGCACTCACACCACACACACGCACACCCCTAGAAACTACAACCTATACACATCTCACGTCCTTCTGGAGATCACCGAAGCCGTATGGACCTCGTAGACGACGGGCACGTCGTAGTCCCAATGTGGCGCCACACGAATATCCAGGACCTATAGGAAACAAATCCAGGAAAAATCCCAAGGTGCGACACCCGAGTTGTCCCAGCCGGGAATCAAACTCGGGTGGGTGGCGCTCCCACTGAGCGGCTTCACCACCGAGCCACTGGCTCGTCCGCCAGCAATCGAGCATTTTTTGTGCATAACCAACCACATAAAGAAGCAGGAGCCCAGGATAGTGAGAGCTCTTTTGACAAGTTCCTGAGGACCCTTGAAATGTTTAGAGACATAGGCAAACATGTGCCACCAAGAGCACCTCACCACATTCCAGGCCTCAACAAGACTGCCCTAGAAGGAAAACATTGAAAGGAATTCTAAATCCACTCTAAACCTTAGACCTTTTTAGTCCCCATAGATCTGTGTGGATTCAAGGACAACACTGAACTACAGGGTAAAAGGTCACCATTATAGATCCTCCTTGCCATTAATTAAGCCTACGGCCAGTTCATTTGAAACTGGTCTCCCTGAAACAATCTATTCTCCCATTATCTAAAAAAACAATCTATTCTCCATAAGATGGTAGTAGCAGAAACTGGTAACAAACAAAATATATAACTTCTTTTTAGTGACCTCAAAAAAATAACTGTGAAAGGTCATTTAGATTCACAAACTTCTAATATACATAGGTGAGCATTAAGAAGTGCAACTCAAAAAATCTAAAATTGTGCCTATGCTTTAAATCAGAGAGTCCAAATAAAATATAAGCTTCTACTCCTTCAAAGCCCATATTAATCTGCATCCCCTGCTTTTGTGGATGTGATGATAAATATCTTCACAGACACAGCAGCAAACAAAAATGAAGAATACCAAACAGAAAACAAGAGGAAAATGATAAACACATCTTCATATCCATCTAGCATGTTCTTAGAACACTAAATCCAAACTGAAGCAGAGAGCAAGCCTGTTCAACATGAGACCATAAACCACCCATCTGACTGGGAAACATAGCATTTCAGCTTCTCCAAAACTCAGCATTAAATCACAAGGGAGACATAGTATACCTCCTCAGAGTCCCACCACAATTCCATCAACCTCAGACTGTAAAGTTTCTGTTTCATAATTGGAAACAAGAACATGACTCTTGTTTCATCATACTCTACGACCTTTCAGGCAATAGTAGAGAGGGCACACTGCAATTTGTTCTCTCCAACAAAAGAAAGCATTGCCGAGTAGCAAATACTAATTGTCAATCTTACCAATTTAGCATACGATTCAGTTCAGTTCCCCAATTTCACGTCGACATCCCTTACATTCCCGATTCCAAATTAGCGACCCTCTCACAACAAACCATTCTAACACCCCCAAGAATCGTTTTTTCTTTCTAGGAAAATCCCCAAGAATCGTAGAACACCCAACGATTGTAACAAACAATTTAAACCAAATTCATGATTAAAAAGCAGTCCTACTACACTCCATTCCCACCTGACCACCAAAAAAAGCCCGCGCCTTGGAGCGAGGAAGCGCAAAGCCGCAAACGAGCTAACCAACCTGCGCGGGGAAGCGGCCGTGGAAGGCGGCGGGGACGAGGTGGAGCCCTCCATCGGAGTCAGCTTGGTAGGGCCCGTAGAGGTACCTCGCGTCGAAGTCGTAGAGGAAGACCGCCGCGCCGCGTCGGATTCGGGAGACCGCATCCAGCCTCCCGTGCGGCAGGCCGAGCACCCTGTGCCGGTAGCATTCGGGCTTCGTTGCGCCGTTGCACATAAAGATGAACCCCGCCGGCGAGGCAGCGGTGGCGGTGGCGGCCGCGGCGGGGTGGGGGTCATGCTTCGCCGCAGCCTCCGGTGGAGCCTCGGCGGGAGGGGAAGACGAGGCGGGGCTCGCCTTGGAGGCAGACGCCGGATGGGTTGGGCCTGAGATAATTGGAATTTTGAAATTACCAAATTTGGGCTTCGTTCATTTGGGATTCGCTTGTTTAGCATTACGAAACTACGCTAGCTGGAATGCCCTTTTATCCGCCCACCATGCCAGCATGACCGTTTTGCCCCTGCTTCTTCTTCAACGGCAGAAGATGGAGGCGACGTCGCTGAGCTCGCTGACGCAGGTCTGCGACGTGCTCGGCGTAACGGCGCAGCGGAGGAAGAGCGTACGGCTCACCGTCTGCCCGCAGGTGACGTAGCACCACGTCTGGCGGGGCGCGCTCGAGGCGGTGCTCGGGGATCTCCAGGCCGGCATGGCGTCCCTGGACACCCCGTCCCCGGCGACCCAGATGGCCGAGCAGATCGCGTCCGCCTGTCTTCCTGTCGGAGACAGCGACGTCCTCGTCGCCGTCCTGGATGCGCCCGACACCGTTTAAGAAACCAGCAGAACCGCCGCCTCCGGCCAAGAGCCTGGACCATTCCTCCAGGTGCATGTACACGCTGCTCCTCTTCTACCTCTATGGCACCGTCCGGGACATGGAGGTGCATGTCGGCAAGTGCATTTCTGGCAAGGGAAGGGAGGCAGGAATGTCCGGGACTTTGATGCTGCCAATCACAATGGCAAAGATGTTGTGACCAAGAAAAAGAATGAAGATGCAAAGGGTGTGTTGGAGCTGCACGGTCATCTCTGGAGCTTCGGTGTTGAGGAGAAGACTTTGACATACAGAGGAGATGTGTACAGAGGAGCTGCACTGTCAGAAAAGTAAACTTTCATTAATAAGTAAAGACACTAAGACTGACATGAAGTTCTACAAAAGAGTAAAAGACAACCATATCTTATATATTGATGATGGTAATGACTGCCAAATACCTATGCACTGTATTCCGCCCATGCAAGTATGCAAGGCCTGAAAGGATTTGTGCTGTGTAATTCCGAAGAACTGCCTCCCCAAATGCACCATATTCTTGAAGCAACTTATGGATAGACCGAGAGTGTCTCATTGCACTGCATTGTAGCATAAAACACATATTAATATGACCGTTGTATCAATGCTTAATTTCAAGGCTGTAATTGTACCGCTTATGAGTGTTATGATGGATTATTATGTAATCACAGAAGATCACTGTTAATTCAGTAATTACCAAATCACTGCCATAGTGTTGAACAATGTTTGGATGTGACAGCTCTCTCAGCAGCATGATTTCCTGTACATAGCAGCTAGTGTCAGTACAAGAAGGAAATACAGTTTCTTCTACAACATTGATGCCGATATGTACAATATTTTAATAGTATATAATCACCTGATTTAGCTGTCTGAGGCACTCTTTTGAGTTAGAATCATCTGAAATGACCTTAACCTCTTTAATTGCACACATTTGACCTGCCTTCACTGCATAGCATATATTTCGAATATGAGTCTGTATGGTGTTAAAACGAAACGAATATTACTCATCCGAAGAAATGTGAGAAAAACACAATGCTTCAAAATTAAAGTACCTGTTGAATCCTATGTATACTTGCCCAAACGTCCCACTACCTAGCAACTTCCCCTTCTTCCACTGTAGAGAACGGGAAGGCAGGCATGGGGAGCCTGGAGGAAGTGGAAGAGGTTGGGGTGAGCTTGAGCTTCGCGAATCATCCTGCCATGAAGTAGGAGATGCAGGACATTGCCCAAATGTTCTTGATGGCACAGGGGAATTTGGATAATGATGTCCTTCTTGTCCTTGCGTGGCGGGCACAGCGACGCGGACGCGGACGCTGCGGCCGACGATGACGGCAGCACAATGCTAGCGGAGATGGGGACTGGGATAGGGACGGAGACGGGGAGGAGCAGGCATGCCATGGCGGCTCTCCAGGTCCAGCCGTCGCTTGGGCGCTTGGCCAAGCTCCTCTGCCTCTGCCGTTGAAGAAGAAGCAGGGGTAAAACGGTCATGCTGGCGTGGTGGGCGGATAAAAGGGCATTCCAGCGAGTGTGTCTAGTTTCATAATGGCAAACAAGCGAATCCCTTTTGCAAGATGACAAACGAGCGAAGCCCACGTTTTATAATGGCAAAATTCCAATTATCTCGTTGGGCTTTTGGGAAGGAGAGAGGACGGAGGTACGGCGAGAGTGCGCGTCGCGGTGGCGCAACCCAAGGACCAGCGGGATCACCTAACACTAACAGTGGTTTTACTACAAATAAAGCGATCCGACTATGAAAAACACTAACTGTGGTTTTACTACGAATAAAACATTCCACACTACGAAATGTTAAGACTACTGTTCACATAATGAACACTATCACTACTTATGGTTTACAAAGAAACTTTTCTTTCATCATACCTCACCTTTATTTTCTCTTTCTCTTCTTTTTTAGCATGGACTACCTTCTTTCTCCTAAAGCATATGTAGCTTCTGCGAGCCCAGTGACAAATATAGAGCACCTATATTTTTATCCGATCCTACATGGCACTTGGAGCTACAAGTAAAAAAGCAGTGTTGGAGAAACCATCAGGCTCTAGTCGAAGCTGCCCAGCAGGTCCACCAGGAAGAAGTGGCTGACCGGTAGCCCGAGGATGTGTTTGGTTGGAGGGCCCTGCTAGCGCCCGGATAGCGAACGTTCGCGTCCGGACACCGGTGCTTGCAGCTCTATTCACGCGTGTCCGCGCGCACGTAGGAGCCTGCACTCCCCTCCATGCCTCACCGTCCGGACACCGAGCCCCATCCGCTTTCGGCACGCGCATGCCGCGCAGGGACCGCCTGCGCCCTCTCCATCTGCTTGTGGCATAAGTTTTCCACGCCGTCCCGAACGTCACCAGCATCGGGAAGAGGAGATGCCAGCCGGCGCCCGTAGGAAGAGAAGACACCGAGACGAGGCAGCAGAAAAGCGACAAGGGAGATGCAACGTCCGATTTACTTTTGAAACATCAAGATACAACACTTGCAACATACGTCTGAAGGCAGATGAAACACTTGAAACATGCTTCTGAAACACTTGCAAAAAAACACCTCGAAAACACTTGAAAACCATTAGAAAAACATAGCAATATCTAGATAAAACACTTGCAACATATGTATGAAATATATGAAACATCCAGATAAAACACACTTGCAACATACATGTAGCGCCCGGTTTTAAGAACAAAACCAGATACGCACCATATGTGAGCCCAGGAAGTCAAATATCACGTATAGCTACAAATAAGGGGTAATATTAAAAGACAATGCTCAATATATAACATATTTAGTATAAAGGGTATAACCTTAGACAGCAAACAGCGGAAAGACAACTCCGATCTTCAGGTGAAGACTCCAATCCACAGGGACAACTGACTGGTTGATCACAATCCTAATTCCTCAAAACTCTAGCAATCTGGTACCCATCCGGGATTTTTTCAAAGATTTAAAAAGTAAAGCAAGCGTAAGTATATGTCGTACTCAACAAATATAACATGGGGGTCATGAGGCTCAAAAGGTTGACACTGGTTTACTGCGATTAGCTTTTAGTGAGTCATAATTTTTAAGCAATTGAGTAGCAACAAATTTATCATAAGCCCGTATAAACACATGATCAGGTAAACATGAATAATGAATAGCAAAAACAATAATCATAAGTGAGCATCTGTATCATCAGTATCATTAGTGTTCATCATCTATTCCATAAGGGTTCCAAGGCCGCTCGTGATCGTGAGCACGGCTGTTATAACAGTTTTACACTCTGTAGAGGTTGTACACTTTCACTATGAGTTGTGATTTACCCTTTTGCCCGAGGTGATCAGCCTCTTGACCCACTACCAAGGAAGGTCGGCAGGGTTTACTATGAAGTCTTTCAAAGGTTCGTCTAACAAGTTAGGGCTGCTAGGATTCACTTGGCAAGCAGATGTAGGAACCCCCTTGGGAATGGCACAATTCTTTTACGGCTATACACATAAGAGTAGAGGCTATCCTATACCCGACTCGGCAAGCCTCTTTTGCGCCATAAAGGTAACCACTAAGAAGCTAGAAAAGATCCTCATACTTGACTAAAGCCAGAGCTATGTGGCCATCACAGTTGTACTATAAGTCCCGGATGATCACTTACAGATAAGTCCTTAGGAAGAGGAATCTAGAGCACCATAATAACAGCCCAATGCTCTAGCCCCCTTTTCCATGTTGCTAAAAATGCATCTTTTAGTGTTTATTGCATATTCCATTAGTCAAGTTACAAGATCATGGCTTTAGTTGAGCACTAGCACCATACTACCCAATGCAATACCCCATAGGTGACAAGGAATCCAAGATATCAAATAGCTAGGAAAATTTACTACGGTTGCCAAGGTAGACACATGCATATGATTAAATTATTAAAGTGAATAGGACAACAAGGATGATCCCATGCTATACTTGCCTTAAACTCTGATCCTTCTTCGAATCAAAACCTTCAATGAATTGCTTCTCGATTTACCACGTATAGCTCACCGACTGTACATGATTATAAAAGCACCACATAAGCATCCATGCAATCATACATGAAGCAAAACAATAGAACTAAATTAGAACAGTACACCAAACATAATAAACAACAAGTAAAAAGATTTTAAAGATGTTCTACATGTTACTACGAACACACAAACGCGAAAAGCACTCTAATTAGAGCTATAACGAAAAGGTTGTGAACTAAACAAGATTTCCTTTAATAAAATAATGGATTAAATCTAACCTTGAATTTCAAAAGTTGAAAACATGTTTAATAGTAGGATAAACATGTAGATTACGCAATTATAAATCTAACGCAACTTGAACGGGTCAAATCGGAGTTAAAACGAAGATTTTATGGCTTAAATAAAACTAATGGCAAAACTGTAAATGGATGAAAGCGTATTTTGGATCTGATCGAAGCAACTACGTTTTCGAAAGAAGAAAACGTATTTTGAATCTAACAGAGGAATTCTACGCTTTTTGAAAAGAGAAAACGTATTTTGAAACTAGTAGAGAGAAACTACGCTTTCAGAATAGGAAAACGTACTCTAGGACTACGCCTTGGACTGCGGGTTCTATTTCGCGAACTGTAGGGGCTCTTATGCAAAAATGCCATGACAAAGGGGTATCGGCCGATCTTGGCCGCTAGATCTAAGATGAACGGCGGAGATTAGATAGGAGGGAGGGAGTGAGGGGGCGGCCGACCGGAACAGAGATAGGAGGCGGTGGCACCATGGCCGGCGGCGAGCACTTCGCCTGAACTCGTCGAATTGGTGACTCGGGCCTTCATTGGTCATGGAAAAATATGTAGAGAAAGAGGAGACGATGGTAAACTCACCAAGGTAGGTCGCACGGATGGAGGCAACGTGTGGCTCGGCGGAGCGGACGACGACGAGCTAGGGTTGTGGCTCGGCAGCGGCGAGCTCGGGACGAGGCGAGGCGGCTTCAGTGACTTGATGGGAGGCAGCACGGTGCAGGCTACTTTTTAATGGGGTGGGTAAGCGTGGGGCACACGCCATCCGAGCGAGGACGGGGCGGCAGCGGACTCCAACGCGGCGGTGGTGTCCTACGCAGACACGAACTGGAGGTGGAAGATGACTCCGCTGACGCGTGGGCCCGGTTCATCAGCGACAGGAGAAGTGGGTAGCAGCGCCCGCGGCTTGCTTCTAGGCCGGCCTATGAGCAGAGGCGCGGGCCTTCAGGGAAGCGGTCAACTGGGCCGAGCGAGAGGGAAGCGGGGAAGGCGGGTGGGATGGGGAGAAGCAGGCCGAGTGGGCCCAAAGGAGAGGGACGAAAGGAATTCCTCTTTTTTTCTAAATTTCCAAAGCAATTTTTCAATTGGATTTTTGAATTCCTTTTGAATTTTGAATCAAACCACTCAGCACAAAAAACTCCAATGCAGCAGCATGTATACACAAACATGTTGCTACCTTATGATAAATTTTAATTTAATGAAAAAATTTATTTTCCTATATTTTCATGAGCACAAAAATACAGAATTAAATAATTTTAGCTCTATTTTAGAAGAAGCAAATTTTAGGGTGTTACAATTCTATCCCCCTTAAGATGATCTTATCCTCGAGATTTGGATGATGGTGATCAAAGAGATGTAGGTATTCTTTCTTTGGATTCTTCTTTACTTTGCATACCTGTCAACCTTACTCCATGTAACTTGCCGAACTGATTCTAAGATTCTAACAGATACTCCAACTACCCCTCAAGTAACTCTAATAACTAGGCCACCTTTCCTTTTTAGTCCATACTATCAATTCTCTTTCTTAAAATATTCACCTTCCAACGGAGCCTTATGAATCTCTTGGTCAGAAGGAGATTCTGCCACCAACTTTAAAACATTAATGAATATATATGCTCAGGTTAAGTTGCTCAATTTTCAAACACAATTTTCATGGCGTCGTCTGAATCCTCTTAGCATAACCCTCCTTCGATAAAGACATCAGCAACGACGTTTGCTTCTCCAAGTGATAGCACTTTTCCAATTCATAAAACCTTGATTGCTTCAATCCAACAATGATGTCACAAGCTCAAAACCATCTTAGTGAAGATGTTCTTTAGATTCTTGTGATCCACCTAGATGTCACTTGTTATGCCCAAGTAGATAGTACCTCATGCTCCACAATGGATAACTCTAGATCATACGTCAGATGTTCCATCTCATGTTTTCTTGCATAAGCCTCTACTTTTTCTTCTTGCATAAGGACACATCCCACACCTTGATAGGGTGCATCATAGTGGATATAAAGGTCTTGTCCTGATCTGGCAAAGCTAATACATATGTTTTACTTCAACTTTTTTTTACTCCTTCAAATACTTAGCTGAGGTCTCTAGATCTGAACTTAAAACCTTTTCCAGTAATACTATCAATATCTTGGTGGTCTTGGATAAAC